CGTGACGACTGTTCTGTCTGTCTGGGTGCCTGTCTGGTTCTGTCTCTTCTCTCTCTCTACTCTCTCTCCTCTCTTTTTGCTCTCTCTCTCTCTCTCTCTCTCTCTCTCTCTATCCTCTCTCTTTCTCTCTTCTTTCTCTCTCTCTCTCTCTCTCTCTCTCTCTCTCTCTCTCTCCTCTCTGTATCTCTCTTGCTCTCCTCTCCACTCCCTCTTTCTCTCTTCTCCTCTATCGCTCTCTCCTCTCTTATATCGCTCTCTGCTCTCTCTCCTGTCTCTCTCTCCTCTCTCTCTTTTTTTTTTTCCTATCGCTCTCTCTCTCTCTCTCATCTCTCTTGTCTCTACTCTCTCTCTCTCTCTCTATCGCTCTCTCTTTTCTCCTTTCTTTCTCTCTCTCTCTCTCTCTTCTCTCTCTCTCTCTCTCTCTCTCTCTCTCTCTCCTCTCGCTCTCTCTCTCTCTCCCTCTCTGTTACTCTCCCTCTCTCTCTCTCTCTCTCGCTCTCTCGTCTCTCACTCCTCTCTCTCTACTCTCTTCTCTCTCTCTCTTCTCACTCTCTCTCTCTCTCTCTCTCTCTCCTTCTCTCTCTCTCTCTCCCTCTCTGTACTCTCTCTTCTCTCCCTTCTTCTCTCGCTTCTCTCTCTCTTCACTCTCTCTCTCTCTTCTCTCTCTCTCTCTCTCTCTCTCTCTCTCTCTCTCTCTCTCTCTCTCTCTCTCTCTCTCTCTCTCTCTCTCTCCTCTCTCTCTCGCCTCTCTCTCTCGCCTCTCTCTCTCTCACTCTACTCTCTCTTCTCTCTCTCTCTCTCTCTCTCTCTCTCTCTTTCTCTTTCGCCTCATCTAATTGATCACACCTCTGCCTGTGTCAAACCTTGATACTTTACTCACCCTCTGTTCGCATCCTTCACCTTTTACAGCAAGCGTCTGGGAGGTCGCTAGTTTGCTGCTCAGCCACCAGGTGGATCCGGAGCAGACGGACAGCTTACGGACGCTCTCCGCTGATGGTCGCCGCCGCCGAAGGTCACGTAGGGCCGTCATGATCTGCCTGCTCTCTCAAGGTGCGTGGCGGCGGTCGAGATCGGTGCTGACATCTATGGGAGCGTTTCTGAAGTTTTTGATAATACTTTTTGTGTGTGGCCGTGCGTGTGTGTGTGTGTGTGTGTCTTAACATGCCTTGTGTGTGTGTGTGTGTCGTGTGCGTGTGTGTGCGTGCGTGCCCGCTGCTGTGCTGTGGACCGTGCGTGCGGCATGCGCGCGCGCTGTGTTATGCTGCATGACGTGTATGCGTGCGTGTGTGCATATCTCGACACTAACCCCCGCGCTTCATGCATCTACGTACCGTACAGGCGCCAGCGTCAGCTGCACAGATAAGGAAGGCCTGACGGCTCTGTGCTGGGCGTGTCTGAAGGGTCAGCTACACGCCGTACAGACACTGCTAGAAGCTGGCTCCTCCATCGATCACACGCGACAACACAGGTCGCACGCCGGCTAGACCTGGCCTGCCTTCTTCGGGGAGGCGCTGACCGTGAGTGACTCCTCTCAGTCTGTCTATCTCTTTTTCTTCGCGCACGCCTTCTCTTTGTCTCTCTCACCTCTCTCTCTCTTTGTCTCTCTCACTCTCTCTCTCTCTTTGTCTCTCTCACTACTTCTCTCTCTTTTATCTCTCTCACTCTCTCACTTCTCGCTCTTTCTTTTTTCTTGTGCACGTTCTCTCTCCTCTCTGTTCTCTCACTCTCTCTCTCTCTCTTTACTCTCTCTCTCTCTCTTCTCTCTCCTCTCTCCACTCTCTCTCTCTCTCTCTCTCTCGTTGCTCTCTCTCTTCTTCTATCTCTCTCTCTTCTCTCTCTCTCTCTTAGCTCTCTCTCTCCTCTCTCTTGCCTCTCTCTCTCTTCTCTCTGTCTATCTCTTTCTTTTACATCTCACACTTTCTCTTTGATTCTCTCCCCTTTTCTCCTTCCCATCTTTCTCTGTCTGCTCCTTCCTTCGCCGCCTCGCTCTTTCATCTCTTCATCTCGTCTCTAGGTACAAATGTAAATTAATTGCAAGGCAGGAGGCTTGAGCCGTTCATCTCTCTCTCTCTCTCTCTGCCTGCTCTCTGTGTGTGTCTCTCTCTCTGTTTCGCTCTCTCTCTCTCTCTCTCTCTCTCTCTCTCTTCTCTCTCTCTCTCTCTCTACTTCTTACTCTCTCTCTCTCTCTCTCTCTCTCTCTCCTTTCTCTGTCTCTGTCTCTGTCTCTGTCTCTCGTCTCTTTGGGCTTCTTTTCTGGGTCTCTGTCTCTGTCTCTCTCTCTTTTCTTTCTTTCTTTCTTTCTCTCTACTCTCCTCTCCCTCTTCTTTCTCCTCTCCGGCCTCTCTCTCCCTCCCTCCCTCACTATTTTCTCTCTCTCTCTCTCTTTCTCTCTCTCGGGCTCTTCTCTCTTCTCTCTCTTCTCTGGCGTCTACTCTCTCTCTCTGTTGCTCTCTCTCTCTGTCTCGCTCTTGCTCCTCTCTCTTCTCTTCTCTCTCCTCTC